CCAACCATTGTAAGTTATAAGTGAAAAGCGTTACAAAGGCGTGCCTCCAACAATAGTTGTTGAGGTTCTTAATAAACATCATATGATAATTACATTTTTTTCACATTCCCGCTCCTGGCATGGGCTCACTCTTGAGAGTTTTTTTTGGAAAGGAGGTTGGAAAAAAGGAAATGGTATGAGACATTTGCCGGGCCGCTGGTCCGAAGGCTGTCGAGGCCAGGTGGCCTGAGATTCATTTTTTCCAGAGAAATTGTGCTTTTTTTGTGCTTTTTTCGTGCTTTTTTTGTGCTTTTTTGTGCTTTTTTTTGTGCTTTTCCGGCGCTCCCGAGCACAAAAAAAAACACAAAAAAAGCAGCACAATTCATACCACAAAAAAAAGCACAAAAAAAAGCACAATTCATACCACAAAAAAAAGCACAAAAAAAAGCACAATTCATACCACAAAAAAAAGCACAAAAAAAAACACAATTCATACCACAAAAAAAAGCACAAAAAAAACCACAATTCATACCACAAAAAAAAGCACAAAAAAAAGCACAATTCATACCACAAAAAAAACACAAAAACAAGCACAATTCATACCACAAAAAAAAGCACAAAAAAAAGCACAATTCATACCACAAAAAAAAGCACAAAAAAAAGCACAATTCATACCACAAAAAAAGCACAAAAAAAAGCACAATTCATACCACAAAAAAAGCACAAAAAAACCACAATTCATACCACAAAAAAAGCACAAAAAAAAGCACAATTCATACCACAAAAAAAAGCACAAAAAAAACCACAATTCATACCACAAAAGCACAAAAAAAACACAATTCATACCACAAAAAAAAGCACAAAAAAAAACACAAATCATGCGCGTTTCCAGCCCGTTCGCATGTGAAATTGTGAAGGGAAACTATTATCTAATTTGTTTTCAATTGCCAGAAAGCACAAAAAAAAGCACAAAAAAAAACACAATTCATACCACAAAAAAAAGCACAAAAAAAAGCACAATTCATACCACAAAAAAAAGCACAAAAAAAAGCACAATTCATACCACAAAAAAAGCACAATTCATACCACAAAAAAAACACAAAAAAAAACACAATTCATACCACAAAAAAAAGCACAAAAAAAACCACAAAAAAAAGCACAATTCATACCACAAAAAAAAGCACAAAAAAAAGCACAATTCATACCACAAAAAAAAGCCAAAAAAAAGCACAATTCATACCACAAAAAAAAGCACAAAAAAAGCACAATTCATACCACAAAAAAAAGCACAAAAAAAAGCACAATTCATACCACAAAAAAAAGCACAAAAAAAACCACAATTCATACCACAAAAAAAAGCACAAAAAAAGCACAATTCATACCACAAAAAAAAGCACAAAAAAAACACAATTCATACCACAAAAAAAAGCACAAAAAAAACACAATTCATACCACAAAAAAAAGCACAAAAAAAAGCACAATTCATACCACAAAAAAAAGCACAATTCATACCACAAAAAAAACACAATTCATACCACAAAAAAAACACAAAAAAAAGCACAATTCATACCACAAAAAAAAGCACAAAAAAAACAAAGTCATTTTCCTTTTTTCCTGCGCCAGTTTCTGCTTTTTTTTGTGCTTGTTTTGTGCTTTTTTTCTGCTTTTTTCTGCTTTTTTTCTGCTTTTGGAAAGTCGCTGCTTTTAAAGCATTTTCAATTGGCCAGCCCGGCCCAGCTCCAGCCCCCACCTCAGCCAGCCAGCCCGCCAGGCCTCTAGTCCCCCAGCATTCCCCAGCTCCCAGGCTCCAGCCCCCAGGCTCAGCCCCCAACCCTTGCCCAGGGTCAGTCCAGCAGCCCCGGCCTTTATATGTATTGTACACACACATTCTATTGTTTTGCTATCGGCGCTGCGATGGGCAACATTCTAAACCCTAACAGAATTACTTTTCCATCGGCATTGTGGTGGGCAGCATCCTAAACCCTAACCAGTGTTGCTGTGCCATCAGCGCTGCAATGGGCAGCATCCGAAACCCTAAACAGTATTGCTTTGCCATCATCGCTGCAATGGGCAGCATCCAAAACCCTAAACAATATTGCTTTGCAATCAGCAGCATCACTACCCACAAGGTGCTGACAAGCTGGATGCATGAGGCATCCCATTGGAAATGCCAATGTCGAATTTTGACAGCAAGGACTTCTGGGCATGGCAAGAAAATGTGCCGACCGTGGAGCCAACTTGCAGGGAATATGCCTGGTCATCTAGCCTTAATAAGGGGAAATGAAAGTCATATTGGGGACTACAACCTGATTTTTTTTGTGCTTTTTTTTGTGGTATGAATTGTGGTCACTGTTAGTGTCACGAGGCAGAGCCCAATACATTACTTACTTCTTGCCATCATTGAGAGCATTTTTGTTCGTTCACTTGTTGCTTCTTTGGTTGTTAGCCATCATTGAAGGCGGCGGTGTCACTTAATTACTTACTGTTCGTCTGCTTCGTGTTGCAAAGAAGTCCGTAGCCCATGTTTTTTATTTACATTGCATGGACATATCGTGAAGCTGGTAACGGCTTCAAATTTCACCCGGATTCTTACCAATGAAAACGCGTCACCCGATAGTAGTTGCAGTTGCCGTACGCTGGTGCTGTGCACCAGAATGCTAAAAAGCTTTCCCAGACCTAGTTTTTTAGATTGCACTAGGGCAGCGTAAAGCCGTTAAATCGTAAAGTTCAATTTTCTTCAAAAAAGCTCTTTGATGTTTTAAAAAATGTCACTTTTGTTCTTCAGCACTGATGAACCAGTTCAAATCGGCGTTCCTCAAGACCCCAAGATCAAAACCAGCGAAATACTTAGATAAAATTTTCATCCATTGGAAAAGGATGAAATGGGAATAAGCCCAAAACACCCTTCCTAGTCTTGCGAAAAAGTTCGTGGCTATTTTTAAATTCCGCCCTCTCTCAATTACCTTTGGTTTTACATTTTAGATTGAAAATCGCATCATTAAATCATAAAATCATAGAGTGGTAAAGTTGGGATTTTTTTAAAACATCAAAGAGCTTTTTTGAAGAAAATTGAACTTTACGATTTAACGGCTTTACGCTGCCCTTGTGCAATCTAAAAAACTAGGTCTGGGAAAGCTTTTTAGCATTGTGGTGCACAGCACCAGCGTACGGCAACTGCAACTACTGTAGGTTGAGCTGTGAGGTGGCCATGTTTGTTTGTCAAGTACCGCAGCTGTCAGGGTTTAAGTTGTGAGGTGGCCATGTTTGTTTGCAATATTTGCCACAGGTTGAGATGTGTGGTTGTTTACTTCTGAAATGCTGTGCTTGCCACGGGTTTAAGCTGTGATGTGGCCATGTTTGCTTCTGAAATATTGTGCCTGCGACGGGGTTGTTAGCTGCCAAAGTACTGCGCCTGCCACGGGCTTAAGCTTTTGAAATATTGGGCCTGCCGCTTTAAGAGATCTGTTGAATACGCCCCGCTCCCCAGCGGCAATGCTGCGTCAGTGTGAGATGGACTGAAGCTGTCATATGCTTCTTTACAGCGTTCCACAGCAGCATTGCCGCCGGGGGTGTGGGGGTTCTGCGCTGCCCGCGCAAAAACTATCGAGACAGGATCACATGTAGTTGAGGCCATGGCGGCCACATGGTGTGTTCTTTATTTCGCAAGAGAGACGGAACATATCGAGGGACGAAAATCTGCATGTGCTTTGAAGTTAAGGTCCCACACGGGGCATGTGTCCTCATTCTGGACTGCAGGCTTTCATGAAAGCAATGGATATCTTGGCTGGTGATCATCGCCAGCGTTTTTTGGTTTCAGCTCATTCAGTCTTGACGTGTATTATATAGATTCGAGTCCCCGTGAGCCTTGCTTTGTCCTCGTGCCATTACGTTTTGCGTCCGAGGCCTGGCCTCGGGCAGGCCTCGGTGAGCCTCGGAGCGCCTCGAATGCCAACAAACCTGCTTCATCATGGCCCCAAAAACAGGGCCGAAAAAAGTGCTCAAAACATGGCTGCGATAGAGAGACCTCGACAGTAGCAAGCGGCCTTGGGACGCACAAAGAGAAAAGGTATGTGTTGACATTCATGTTCAAGCTGCTGGGTCGCAAATCTGCTTGCAAAACATTTGCGGGCAGCAACGAAATTCTCCGATGGCTGACCCCATTTTTGGGTCCAAATATGGACCCCAAAATGGGGTCCAGAATTGGATCCCATTTTCATTCCTTCTTTTAGGTCTTTGCTTGGGCCCCATTTTGGGTTCCAGATTTGGACCCAAAAGTGGGGCCAGCCATCGGAAAATTTTGCTGCTGCCCGCAGATGTTTTGCAAGCAGATTTGCGACGCACTAGCATGAGCGTAAGTGTTACCACATGCTTTTTCTCTCTGTGCGTCCCAATGTGTTTCTTGTACATATCGTGTCAATTACATTGGGTAATTGAATTAAAACATACCACGGAGTAGCGGAGTAGCGCGGAGTAGCGACGGATTGGTGAATGTTGCCGGGGTGGTGCTGCATTGCAGTCGCCGCATTGGAGCTAGGGAACGGAGACAGCTGATACCATATGTGCGCTTTCAGGTTCCATTTCTGGGGCCGGAAGGTGCATCTCCCTGAAAGGGATAAAACTGTCTTTTAAAAGTTTTCACAGTGCCATCAGAGGCACGGAAGCGAAACTAAAATAAGAACCCCATCATCTTCTTCACCTCAGCTATCAATAAGCTGATCTGTCTTACCTTGTCATTCAAAAAACCATTGTTGAATGTCTGGACCCCATAGTCCTATCTTCGTAATATCAAGTACCATCTCCAGTTACTTGAACTCTCAGGAAATGTGTGGTAAAACAATCCAGTGTTTTTCCAAACCTAAAATCTTAACATGTTTAATCTTGGGAAATCTGAACAAACAAATTATTTCTGTTTTTATTCTCAAACAACGTTTTCATTTTATCCCGTGCAGCTCTGGCTGGGCGGGAAGGAGGGTTTAGAAAAATTTTCTAGGCCCCATGCTGCGTGAGAGTCGGGGGTAGCAATGGAGGTGCCAGCTGAAGGGGAAGTGAATCCCCCTTCAGTTGGCGACAGTTCGGATTCATCAGAAGTGCTACTGGTGGAGAGACGCGAAAACAACCCTCGAAGCAGTGTGGGGCCCACAGCAGCCAGAGCCCCTCCAGATATTAGGTTCGAAATGCAACCTGCTGTATTTGACGCGTGGCTGACGTTGCAAAGGTCACCAGCCATGCAGACGGCCAAAGCTCCAATTTTTGACATTTTGTCACCTTCGGGGAGGAAAATGGACCATTTGTTCAAGGCGCCAAGCCTGGGAATGGTGCCAGCTGTTGTTTTGCCTCTAGACACGGGAAATGCTATGCCAGTTTCAGGTCTTGCTGCTAAGTTGGCAGCCAACAGACTACGGCACACTCAGCTGGTCAAAACTGATGACCACATTCTCTGGGAGGCCATGAAGAAGCCCAAGACCATTTTGCTGAGCGATCCAGCAGCGACGAAGTTGGGGCGATCACTGGTCTCAGGTTTCAGCCTCTTGTCGGATGAGGCAGATTGGTCTAGATCTCTGAGCGATGCCTTTACTGGAAAAGCTGTGGTGACCCTGGCAAAGAGATCATCTGCATTGTGGCGTTTCCACAACTGGTGCGTTGACAATGGTTTGGGCCCAGCAGTGAGTGCGACAGAGAGCATGATCTACAGATATTTGCAATGGCTGAAGGAACATGGAGCTCCAACTACTGCCTCCTCATTTCTCCAGGCATGGACGTTCTTGCACTTCCATGCAGGTTTTTTGGTACAAGGTGTGGATGCACTTTCATCTCGAGTTAGGGGTGCTGCTCGTGCAATGTACTCATTGAAGAGACCTTTGCGGCAAACCTACCCACTGACAGTTGTGATGTTTGTGGCACTGGAAAATGTTGCGACGTTGGCACCCTATGATCACTGGAGAATTATAGCTGGCCACATGCTCCTTTGTCTTGGGAGCTGCTCAAGGTTTGGAGACTCCATCAAGCTGGCTTCGTTGAGTGTCAACAGTCACAACGGTTTGCAGATAGTGGAAGCAGAGTCCATGTCATACAAGACAACAATGTCAGGTGGGCCAGCGGGGAACAACTGACGGCCGAAAGATGTTTCACTGCAGACACACAAGGATGCAAGCGGTGCTCTGGGTTTGGCCAATCGGAACTGGTACAAGTTGTGTACCAGGTTCGAATGGCCACGCCTTCGGCACAATCTACTGGATACAAATCTGACAGATGGCGCCGGAGGACCTACAACTTCTTAAATGCCGCAGGTAAACAGCTTATGTACCAACCCAGATGCAGGCAATGGGATTTCAGGCAGAAGTTTAGAAAAGGGAAGCCGCTGCACCCTTTTTGTTTTTCTCTTATATATGTGGCAATAGATCAGGTGGAAAGCTGAGTGAAACTTTTCGCTGGCGTTGGTGAAACTTGACTTTGCCAATGCCTTCAATTGTGTGAGCCGTCAGGTTGCCCTTCGTGAAGTCGCTGCCAAGTTTCCTGGTCTGGCCCGTTTTGCCACCTGGTGTTACCAAATGCCCAGCAGCTTGCGGTTTGGTTCTTTCACTTTGGAGTCCCAGACTGGAGTGCAGCAAGGAGACCCTCTCGGGCCCTTGCTATTTGCTGCAGCCATCCACCCATTGGCCAGCACATTGCGGGCCCAGGGCCTGGACCTGGCCATCCACTACTTAGACGATGGGGTGTTGGCTGGAGACTTGGGCGCTGTTGCGGCGGCGCTAGCCCACGTCCAGCAGCAAGCCTCCAGCATGGGCTTGGTGCTCAACTTGGCTAAGTGTGAGGCAGTTGCAGTTGGTGGCCTTTGTCCTGCAGACCTTGGACCGCATTTTCCTGCTGCTTTGTTGCGTCACCCTGATGGTTCGCCCTGAGTTCTCCACAACTTTGAATTCCTTGGTGCAGCGATCGGCGATGCGGCCTTCAGTGACGCCCACACTGCTCGCCGAGCCGAGCAAGCCAATCGGCTGCTGGAAGCGCTGGCTTCCTTGGAAGACAGTCAGGTTGGCTTGCGGCTGCTGCGGAGCTGTGCCGGCTTCGTACGTCTGGTGCACAGCATGCGCTGTAACCCTCCTGGGGTTCAGCAACATGCTTTGGCTACTTTTGATCAGATGGTGCGGACTTGCTTTGGTGGGCTGACTGGTTTGCATTTGACAGCATCACAGTGGCAACAAGCTGGGCGCAGCCTTGCTCACGCTGGCTTAGGTTTGCGCTCCACTGTGCAACATGCCCCAGCCGCATATCTGGCGTCTCTGGGTTCTAGCCTGAGTGCTTGTGCTGAACTCGACAGTGGGTTCTCGCCTGTGGAGGTGCTCACTGCGCCTGGGGCCCTTGATGCTTTGCGCAGTCTGAACTCTCAGTTGGACGGTGGCAGCCAGCTCTGTTTGGAAAAAGCTCTTGCTTTCAACCAACATGCCCTTTCCGCTCGTTTGGATGCTGCTTGCTGGGACAAGCAGATTGCCGGCGCTAGCCCCGCTGAGCGGGCCTCCCTTTGGTCCGAAACCGGTTTGGGGGCCAGGGCTTTCCTAGCTGCCGTGCCATCGGGTCCTACCCGCATGGAAAAGGCAACTTTTGCGGCTGAGCTTCGTGTGCGGTTGGGTGTTCCTGATGCTCCGACCGATGCCTGGTGCCCCCGTTGCGATGGCATTCTTGACCGTCTCTCCCATCACGCTGGTGTTTGTGTCGCTGGTGGAGAACGAGCACAGCGGCACTACGCTGTCCGAGATGTGGTCCATGCTTGGGCTGAGAAAGCTGGCTTGAGACCCGAAAAGGAGCGTCCCGGGCTTCTGCTACCCCAGTCCCCTGATGACACCCAGTCGGCTCGTCGCCGTCCAGCCGATGTCTTTCTGCCAGCGTTAGCTGGAGGCCCTGCTGCACTTGATTTCGCCATTACGGCGCACCAGCGGCAGGACACTCTTGCTTTGGCCAGCAGCAGGGCAGGGGCTGCCGCGGAGGCGTATGCCCGACAGAAGGAGGCCCATCTACACACTGCGCAGGCTTGTGCCTCGCAAGGGGTCTCCTTCGTTCCCATGGTCGTCGAAACCACTGGACATTGGGATGTTGGCGCGGCCCGCGTGCTGCGCCATATAGCCACTGCGGTGGTGGCTCGCACTGGTGATCTGGCGGATCATGTGCACAACTCTATGCTGCAGGAGCTTTGTGTGGTGGTCAGATCCTTCCGGGCCCGGGCGGCTTTGAGGCGTCGCAGTGAGTTGGCTGATGCATAGATCCTTCCGGTTGTTTCTTTATATTTTGGACGTTTTTCCTGTGGATTCTCCCGAGGAGGTCTGCTCACGTCTGCGCCCTCTGCGCTTTTGCATGTTGAGTGTCGGACCAGCGTGGGTGTCGTTGTTTTCCTTTCTTGTGCCATCTCTGCCCACAGCTGCTTTTGTCCGCCTCTGCTGCTAGCTGGCTGTTGTGCAGTTTCTTTTTCTGCGGCCTATGTGCAGTTGTTTTGCTTCTGATGTTGGCCTTTAGCCATCAGTGTGGGGCCGCTCATTTAGAAGCTTTACATATCGAACAATGTTGGGACTTGTTTCGAGTTTTTTTCGAGACTTGTTCCATCTCATGTCATGATTCCATGGGGCTGCACAACAAGCGGGCTAGGCCGCCATCAGTGCACGGCTCAAACCAGGGATAAACCATGACGAGAAGCATGATCTTTTTCACACTTGAGGTTAATCAGACAACCTTTCACTTCATTGCCAACTCAAAGCATAATATAAGGGCCCCCCAATGTCAAAAGTTACACGTATGAAATAAGTTACTACAGGATCATTCCCCATTAACTTCATGTTCAGTTTTTCGTTTGAAACTGTGGATGGCCGATCCGCGGAAGAGGGGAAAGACTGCAGTAACAGCGTGGAAAGCTGAGAAGTGTGACGCAAGACTCAACTGGTGGGCATTCCTTATCGCTTTTGCTTGTGGCTGGATCAGCTGCTTCATCTGGCTTTTGTGCTGAGGATGGCTGCACCAGTCAAACTTGTTTGCAGCCTGGCTCGGTTCACGGCGAGCTTCAGGGGCTCCAATTTTTTGCAATCTATATGGCGCCTCTTTGAAATGAGAACGGGAATCATGCAATTTCTAGAATGGAATACTTTCTTCCTCTTTGCAAGGAGCTGCATCGGAATTTTTGCTGACAGGGGAGAACTAGCCCTGGCCGTTACTGAGAACAGATTGCAATTGGATGCACCAATGTCAAGTTGGAGCGTGCCCACGCCCCCTGTCCAGGGGGGGCAACATGCAGAGCCAGTGCACCATATTTCAGATGATTCCAGCTCAGAGGGTCCACCATAAAGCAGCCGTGACAGCCTTGCCAGTGATAAAAAGAGTGGCCGCGCTTTAAACGGGGCAGATCAGCTGGTGTGAATGCATTGATTTCTTTGTTTTCCTTCATCATCACAAGAAATCAGCAAGAGCAAACATGGCCTCAGAACCTGGCAAGACTCCGGATGGCGAAGCCAGGACATCACAATCCTGGTATCTGGGAATCATCACCACGCCAGACATTAAGAGCGCTTTCATGCCAGGCTTAAGCCATCAGCCTTGTCAGAGAGCTGTAAACTTTGGCAAAAAACCCAGCTCAGATTCAAAGAGAAATTACGATGTCAGATAACCGCACGTCAGACATTTTCAAACGCCACTTCCTTTTCACAAGCTCACCAAGACAGAAAACTAAATAACGGAAAGACTCAAACATTATTTTTTATTAGATAGTTCAACGGTCATTTTGCGCAATGTCCACAGGATTAGAGTCAGAAGCAGCAATCAGGGCGAGGGCCACTGAGACAGGGCTGCCAGATGATGCAATTGACCGCCTCAAGCTTGGTGGAGTGAAAAGCTTCGTATGCGTTCATCACCAGCTACCAGCCAGGTCAAGCAGATGTAAAGCCACTGATCACGGCCCTGACACAGACCATGGGCCGGGAGCCAACCAATGCAGAGACCATTGCACTGCGCAGGCTTTTCTCCGAATCCACGACCTTAGCAGTGCATGAATTCAAGCAACGTTCAGACAGGGAGGAGACAGCTGAGCCAACCAAGATGCCTGTTGCAGAAAGAAACGCCCGGTTGGAAGACCAGAAGAAACGTTTGCCTGGGCTGCATTTCAGCCCTGAGACTGAGCCGAGCCATAAGTTGGTCGACACGATTTGCCAAATGGCAGTAGACCAAACTTTAGAGTGGACACCTTGGGAAAAGTTGACAAGCAGGAGCAGTGAAATCACCCATAGCCAAAAAGACTTGAAGTTCTCTTTGGATAGCCAAGGGTGTGTGAAAATAGCTGCAAAGACGCAAAGCCCTGACGCAAACGTCACCGTTGAGATGCGAGTACGTCAGGCCCTTAACAGAAGGGCTAGGGCTTTTGACGTAGCACAGCTATGTAGGTACACAGTCATGGAAGCTTGGCATGAACGAATTTTTGAAGTTTTGCAAAAGGAGCCAGCTCCAAGTGCTATGCCTGTGACGATGCACCAACTCCGAGAGGCCGACAAGATGCTGTTCAGGAAACTTGCAGAGAAGACCAGAGGTGCCCTTGCACAACAGCCAGATGGATCCAAGCCAATGGAAGCTCACTTTGATACCTGTGCCGACCATGCGGAAGTGCAATTTTGCCTGATCCCCATGGTAAGGGGGGCCACCAAAAAACAGCAGTGCGCACTCCCCTTCCCCAAAACCCAAAGGAAAGGGGAAGGGAAACGGAAAAGTGCGAAAGGAATTCAACAAACCTTTCACGCCGTCGGCCCAAGCATTGCCGCCAAATTGCCACCAAATGACGCCCCAGGGCAAACCGATCTGCAATACCTTCAACCGAGGTTCCTGTGACTTCGCAAAGCCTGGCAAAAGGTGCAAACGTGGATTCCCTGTGTGTTGGCAGTGCTTCAAGCCGAAGCCTTATTCCTGCGACCATTCGTGACAAATGGCCCCCCATTTTGGGGAGGATTCGGAGCCACCAGCCGAAAAGCGTGCGAAGTCAGCACATCAGACTCCGACACCAGTGCATGCAACATTACCAGTTTTTTCTTGCGAGCCCAGCTCCGATAGAGCGCTTTTCTGCGAAGTTTTTTGCAGGGAGTGGGCGGCTAAGCCGTGCAGCGAAGCAGCAGGTTTTGCAATTTGGCCGGTCGATGGACCCAGGAATGAGCATAAGGCAGAGGTCCGATTTTAACTTTGGACCTTGTTAGAAGTGAAGAGCAGCAGTGTCTCCAGGACACCCTCCGGCAGCTGAAACTACAAGCCATCCTTGCGGCGGTGCCTTGCGGAACGGGTAGCAGGGCACGGGAGAGGCCAGTGCCTGCCCATTTAGTTGCCAGAGGAGCTCCTCAACCGCGTCCTCTCCGCAATGCCTCGCATCCGTTGGGGCTGCCAAACCGGATGCACCAAGAGCTTAGAAGGTTGAAAGTGCCAACAGGCTTGCAAAGTTTGCCATAGACGTGTTTGTGCTGGCCGTTTCTCTTTCATGCGTTTTTAGCCTGGAGAACCCCAGCAACCCATGGATGTGGAGTGTCCTCTTCGTGTATGTGCAACAACGCAATGACCCAAGCATGTTGCAAGCATGGTTGAACATGTCAGCAGTCCAGTTCAGCAATTGTGCGCATGGAGGGGAACGCCCAAAACAAACCACTTGGAGAAGCACACATGATGTGTATGACCACCTTGCCAAGCCATGCCAAGGTGACCACGTGCACAAGCCCTACCAGGTCACCAATTCCTTTGGAGCCTGGACCTCTGATACCGCAGCCGAGAGTGAGTATCCCTGGTTGCTGTGCACTCGCCTTTGTCAAGCCCTCCATAAAAAGTTTGTCCAAAGTTTTAACCTTTCACCCCCCAAAAAGTCCGTACTTGGACACAGCCAAAACCGACACCAAAAAATTCTTATCCCTGAATACCGTTGCCTCACTCGACAATAACCACAACCACCTGATGCACATAAATTTCTTCCTCCACAATCTCAGGGGGGGCTTAACGGGGAGGAACAAAGGGAAATAAGTGGGGACGATAACAAATTTGGCATCTACCATACTCCCAGTCAATTTCTTGAAAGGGCCCTGACGTTGGTACACCCCCTTTTGATGAGAAATTTGCCGTAGAAGATGTGACAAGAGCCAACCCCTTTTTGAACTACTCACCAAGGGTAGAAGTCATATGGCTAACCAACGCCTTGCCTTTGCCAAAAAATTGACAGTTGGGTCCAAAGAACTAGCGGCAGAAGAAGCTAGATACTTTGCTACGCTCCCTGAGCACGCCCAGAAAGTGTTCCAAAGGAAGAGACTTTTACCTTTCAAAAAGCTGTTGGTCGAGTCTGGGTGCCCAGATTTGGATGCCGGTGATGTCATGGCCGGCCTGGATTTGGTAGGGACGGCTACGGAGTCACCCTTCTTCGACACTAAGTTGGTACCTGCAACCACCACACCACAGTTTCTGAAGCTGTCTGCACGCTGGCAGAGACCAAAACTCGAATCCAGGAATGTGCACTCAGATGATCCTGAGATGGCACGCTTGCTTTGGGATTCTACTCTTCAGGGAGTGGAAGCCGGTTTCCTTGAAGGGCCCTTTAGCTCCCTGCCTGACCTTGGGCTCCATGTGGGGTCGGACGACCTTGTAGTCAGCCGGCGTTTCGCCATCGTCCAATCCGGGAAGCCCAGGATCATTGACGACCTGAAGAAGTCCGGAGTCAACCGAGCCTACACTGCAGTGGATTCTTTGGCCTTGCATGATGTGGATTATGTGGCGTCTCTGGCTCACTTTATAACCACGACGGTCAGGCATGCCAAGGATGATCCTAGCAGGATGGTGCATGTTCAGCTGAAGACGGGCGAGAGGCTGGCGGAAAAGCTTCACGCGAATTTTGCACACGAGGTAGAATGGAGGGGTCGCTGCATAAATCTCTCAAAAGCCGATAAGCAGATCCCTGTGAGCCAGGCGTCCCGACCTTTTGCAGTGCTGATGGTCCACCATTATGAGACGGGGCGCCCTGTTTACTCTCTACGCAACAGCCTTCCTTTCAGTGCCAGCTCGAGCGTCTTTGGTCTCAACCGTGCTTCAAGGGGCCTTTGGTTTGTAGGCAGCACCTGTTGCAAGTTGCTGGGGGGAGTCCTTTTTGATGACTTTCCTTTGTTGGAGCCTCAACCGACATGCACCCTTGCTACAAAATCGTTTGAAGGAATATTGGAGGCCCTAGGTTGGAAGTTCTCAGACGATCCGAAAAAGACTCACCCTTTCGAAACCG